ATCTGACTTAGCCAGCTGATTGCAGCATCATTTTTTCAGTCACTATTGAAGCTTAATAACTTCAGCAGATCTCTCAGCTTGATGTATTTCATGCTCAGATTCTCATTCTGCACAGCAGTCTCTGATGATGTGTATACTTCTGAAGAGATTGTAAACAATCATGATGAGATCTTCAGGTTCAGTGTAGTCACCTATCTGTGTAAACATTCAATCTCCTGCTGCAGGCCTGAGATCTGGTTTTCTCTATCTTTATTGATGATGGTAATTGCATCAGTGAAGCTCTTCATAGTAAATGCTTGATCTGCAGTGAATGCCAATTGTTGTTTAACTTCTGTCTCAGCCTGCCACTGTGTATGCAAGACCTCAATCTCATTTAGAATTCTCATACATGTACAGAGCTTCAATTTCAGTTCAGTGATCTCAGCTGCTTTTCTTACTGCTTCAAGTAAATCCTCTGAGAGGTTCTGCATATCTTCCAGTTCAGGTAGCAGAGAAGAGTGTTGTTCATATCAGCTAGAAGAGATATTCATTTCAGTGATTTCTCATTGATTATATGATGTCTATTATTATATTGCTGTATCATTATATCACTATATTATTCTATCACTATATCATTATATTGCTATATCATTATATGATTTCTGTTATCATTGTACAACTCTGGTGATGATCACCCTCTTCTTTTATTCTTCTTTTAAGTAGGGAGCAGACTTCTTTGAATCTAGTTCACTGCTCTCATTCTCTTTCTCACACCTCATTCATTCGCCTATGTGGCATTCATCTGAGTGTGAAGTTTTCCTTCAACAAGTGAAGCAGCATCAATCAGATGCTCTTTCACTCATCACTCTTTGTATACTATCTTTTGAGACATTCTAGGACCACACTGACATGATAACTATGAATTGTTTCATAGATGGAATTATCATGTCCTGGAGAAGCCTGCACTTCTCACTGGTTTTTAGACATGCTATCAGATATGATTCAAAGGTTGCTTAAGCCAGTGTATGATTACAGGCGTACGCCGGCTTCTTATATATTGTAATATCATACGCTAAATTAATTAGCGGCCGCTATGACCCCTTTACACTTGTACGCGTACGCTAGCAGTTCGGAAGCGGCCGCGTTATTATCCGACGGTCGTACGTTCTTCCGAACCACATCATGACTTGAAAAAAATGAGAAAGTGATCTCATTTGATCTCATTTAGTCTCATTCATGGCATAAAGTGACTATTTTTAGACATTTTAAGGTTTGTTTTAGACTATTTTTAATTTTTTAAAAAGTAATGCTTTTTGATAACACTCAAATAAGATTTAAAGTCATTTAAAGTAATAAAAATAATTTAAATTGAGAAGTGAAAATCATGATCTCATTTGAAAAATGTGATAAGAGTAGACAGTAAGTCTCACTGAGACAGTATGAGACTACTATCTAATGTTAAAACCATGTAATGGGATCAGTTGAATTGATAATGAGACTATCAAAAAATCTGGTCCTGGTCTCAGACACGGTCACACGGTCAGTCTAGATATGACTGACTCATTGAAAGACTCTAACAGAGTATCAGTTAGTGAGATATATGCCTTGCAAGTGTGTATGAGATGATATGTATCAACTATCTTATCAATATAGGCATTCTGACATAGTCAGAGCTTCAAGTTGAGATGATTATGTATTATTCACATGTTAAGAAATCATTTCAAATCTCTCATCTGTCAGATCTTATAGGTGTTTTTAAGATCTTTGATTAGTTAATCTCTTTCTTTCAAATCTTCTCATCACAATAGAATGATGATATCATTCACATAGAAGAAGATGATTAATTGATTATTAGAGAAGAGATATCAATTCTCTGATATAGAGATGAAGCCTAGTGTTCTCAATGTTGAAGATAGTTCATTTAATCAGAGAAGAAGTGATCTGTGTAATTCATATAGTGCTTATAGAAGTTTTAGCATATGATTTATATACTTCAAATTTTGTATCTTCTTCAACTTTCATCATTCATCAGATAGTTTTATATATACTAGCTCATCAATATCACTATTAATGAAGGCATTGATTTCATCTAGCTATTTCATATCTAGATTAAATACTGCTGTTAGAGCTAACAAGATTCAGAGATCTCTGATAGCTATTATGTGAGCTTTTATAGTGAGATCTATGATTAATTGAAGATCTCTGCGTATATAGATGTGAGCTTTGTATTTCAAAAGAAAACCTTTATCATCAAATTTGTAGATGAATACTCATTATAGAGAGATAACTGAGATATCTCTCTGTAATCTTCTAGTAATCTCATATATGTTCTGCAGAGATATACTATCTTATTTCTGCTTGACAAGCATTCTCAAATTCTTCACAATGTGAGTGTTTTTCAATATCTGTTCAGTGATTCAGTGAATCTGACAGTTGAGATCTATGAATTCTTGAAGTCAGTATAAATGCTGTTGATATAGCTGTATTGTTGATAACTGTGAAAACAGTATTTGAAAATAAATATTGAGACTTGTAGAAGTCTGAATGTAATTGAGAGAATGTCTCATTGATTATTCAAAATGAATTGATTTTGACATTTGAAACTGTCACAAGATAAGAAGCTCTGTGTTTTCAGGTTCTGCAGTCATCAATGATATTTGCTTCATCAAAGTCGGCACTGATATCATGAGCTCTAGATGCAATGTTTCATGTTCAATTATCTATCACAGCTGAATGAGTATTAATATCAACATTGAAACCTGTTGACTCTGGCGTTGAATCTAATGTAGAAAGAATTGAAATGTTATGATATTTATACTCATTATTTTCCTTCTCTATTTGTTTAAAGCTTTGAGCATTTTCTTCAGAATGAAAAACATCAATATCTGCATTTATAATCTCTTTCAATTGATTAATAGAAGTCATTGATGATTCTTGAACTTTCATATGTAAAAGCTCCATCTTCTTAGATACTCAATCTCTTAGTTGTCTTTCAATGTAGAGGTCTTCTGAGTTGAATTTTCCATTCTCATTAAACATCACATCTCTTGCTCTTATCACCTGTTCTAAGTGTGAAATTCAAATTCAATAGATGTTTGTAGAATCATATTCAACTAGATATTCAATATATGCTCAGAGATCTAGCTTCTGAGAGCAGTTTCTATTGAGAACTTCATTCAGTATCTTTACATAGATGCGACTAGACTGGCCGCCGGGATCATGAATTTCACATTTGATTTCATTTGGTCTGGTCCCATACATTTCTTGGCGTGAATCCCGCTGGGACTGGCTATCAAAAAAACATGTAAAGTGACTATATATCAGATCTTAAAATGAAACCATGACTTGAAAAAAATGAGAAAGTGATCTCATTTGATCTCATTTAGTTTCATTCTTGACATAAAGTTACTATTTTTAGACATTTTAAGGTTTTTTTTAGACTATTTTTAATTTTTTTAAAAGTAACGCTTTTTGATAATGCTCAAATGAGATTTAAAGTCATTTAAAGCAATAAAAATAATTTAAATTGAGAAGTAAAAATCATGATCTCATTTGAAAAATGTGATAAGAGTAGACAGTAAGTCTCACTGAGACAGTATAAGACTACTATCTAATATTAAAACTGTGTAATGAGATCAGTCGAATTGGTAATAAGACTATCAAAAAATCTAGTCCTGGTCTCAGACACGGTCACACGGTCAGTCTAAATGCGACATCTGTAGATTTGAAGATGAGCACAGAAGTGAGATTTGATTTATAGGAATTCTTTCAATACTTGTAGAGATGACTTTCAATCTAGAATTCTAGTAGAGGTTTGATTTGCTAGGTAGATGGCAGTAAGTGTGATCTCAGAGAAAAGTGATTATAACAGAAGAGATTCTATCTGTAGAGTTCTTGTCTTTGTTATTAATATTACTTCTACTCACTCTGCTGCATCATTTTGCTCATGAATATACTCTGAAGAATACTTCATCTCTAGACCTTCATTATTCACTCAATTTATGAAGTTATCTGCTTTCTTGACTGCAGTATCATTGTTAATATAAATGATCTTTATAGTACAGTTGAATTGATGTTTAATTCAATTAATAGCTTATCTAAGAGCTTTTCAGATTTCTGATTTTTAAATAGCTATTATAGCTATATGAAAACAGAGATAATCACACATGAAATGTATGAGATAACACTCATCATTATAGCACTGTGTAGAGCCATGTGTGATATTTACATATAGGTATTTGAATGATATTTAAGATCTAATATGAGAATGTCTAGATATTTGATTTTTTGCATTAGATAGATAACAGAGTTCACAAAGCTCAGTGATAAGCTTGTCTGCAGCATCTTCTAGATTGATGATTTGAATGTCAGTTGCATCATTTGCAAGCTTTTGAATGACAATTTTTGATGAATGTTCTAATCTCTTATGCCATGTAGACTGAGTAGCTATAGAGATCTTAGGTTTGTGAGAAGGTTTTATGCATATTGACAGGTTGAAAGGATGATTTATTGAAGTGTGTTTTGACAGATTAGAAGAAGGATTTGTAGAAGTTGAAGAATTTGAAGATATCATTTTTTCAGATATAGTAATATTAGATATGTGTGATATGATAGCTGTATCAGCTTCAGTAGTAGATTTTTCTGAGATAGTTGAGAAAACAGCTGTTTCACTATTATATTCTGTAACTAGTAGCAATCTCTCAAATACTTCAATACATGCAAAGATTGTATTATCTGTGTGTTTTCTCAATCTGAAGTCTTTTTCATTATAATAGATGCCTTCTATATGAAAACACAGTTTCCATGCAATGATATTTGTATGGAAATTCAGGATGTAAGCTGTGTTGATGAGGTTGACATTGAACTGCTTTTCTGCTTCATTTATCATGATTGTTCTAACAGTTCTATAATCTTCAACTTTAGTGCTGAAATCATCTGTATAGACTTCCACATTCTCTTTTACAGATGTAAAGAATAGAAAATGTGTTCAATTATTGCATATATACTGTTCTGCATCAGTATCAAAGATTCAGGAGTTTCAGAGATAGAAGTGTGAATTTGAAGAGTTCATTGATATTTTCCAGATCTGCTGATTGATAGATTAATAATTAATAGATTAATGATTAATAGATTGATGATTAATAGATTGAGAAACTGACTGCTTCAGAACCATTTCTTCTAGAACTGCTTCATTGACATCTATCATATCTGTATTCATGAATGAATCTCTAGATATCGCATGATCAACATATGTCTTCAATTCTTGATTTTTAAGAGCTTGATTGATCTGAGTTCTCTTCTTCTCATTTTTCTTCCATTCAGGTGGCTTTCTTGATGAATTGAAATAGTAGCACTGAGCGTATTGATGATGAGCTCTGCAGATGTAGTTTCTAAATATCACTAGTGATAATTACTGAGATCTTTCATTAAGAGTAGTGAAGTTCATAGGTTTATCTTCTTTGAGAATACTCATTTCTCTATATCATTTCTTGAAGTTCTTAACTAACTCTATCAAAGATATGACATCTTTATCATGTTGAACGTTCTTAGTTCATGCTTGTACATAATCTGCATCAATAGCTAGATTCATATTTAAGAAATCTTTCTTCAAGTTGAACTGTTCAGCTATATTCATCTCTTTGATATCATCTTCAATAAGAGATCAGTCATTTAATCACTTCTCTATACCTCTGTTTTTCAGTGCTTTGCAGAGATCATGATATCAGGTTCTCACATTATCTTGATAGTCTGCAGTCATGAGTGAGAGTCAGTCTCTTAATAAATGAATAATCTTCTTCACATCATCATTCTCACTGCATACATATTATAGCTCTGTGACATTCACTGTTCTTCATATGATATCTCATATCTTTGTCATACCTTTATTCAATTTCTCATATTTCATATATTTTATTTTCCACACAGTAATCTTGATGTCATATACTATCTTGACCTCCGCGGTAGCTTCTTCTGAACACTCGGGTTCCAGAGGTTCTTCTAGTTCAGAGAAGATATTGAGTTTATTAAGATTGATGAAGTCTGATACCTTCTTGTCCTTTGCATATTCTTGCATATGCTTGTACCAAAGCTTTCAATCTTCAGGAACACTAAGGTGTATAGTTGCACTAGACATTGTCTTGTCTGTCATATCAGTTATATTGAATGAATTGAGAAATCAGTTCAAGGATTTGAGAATAGATATGATCAGAATTCAGGGTGTATATCAGTCGAGTATTTCGGAATGTATACAAGTGAGAATCTATTATCTCAGTTCAAATGATAGTTATCAGTTTGAATGAGGATTGAGATTGTGAATCAGGTATAACAGTTGAGTAGATTGTACTGTATACAAATGAGAATAAATCATTTCAGTTTGAATAATTGTTGTCAAATTTGAATGAGGATTGAAATCAGTGTATTGTGCTTCTCTTCAGATACTGCTTACCGGGCTTATAACTGTTGAATTAAGTGTTATGAATGAATATGTTGAAGACATATAAATCTTATATGTATCAAGATCTGCTTGTTATATTATCTGTTCACTATCTAATATATCTATTTCATATAAAAGATAGAGCTATTTATAGTAAAATATATGTGCGAGCCAAGAGAGCTAGCATAAGTGAGTATTAGATGAGCGTTGTAGTAAGCTGATAATGATGAGAAATATTGTAGTAATATGATGTTGATGGCGTTCAGTAGTGTATAACCTCTTTTTCCTGACAGTTATTATACAATGATTAAATCTTTAACTGTAAGATATTATAATCTTCAGTATATTCTCTTATTAAGACTCTCACTTCTCATAGAATTTAATAAGTAAAAAGACATTCACACTTGTTACATGATGAAACTAAACATAGATGTTAGAGAATATTAATGTGAAGATGTCTATATATACAAAGTTGATAATCTTGACTATAATCTTATACTAGAACTTATCTGACTATCTGAACAAGACATTTTATTGAATACTTAAAATAAAAGCTTAATATTCTCTAATAATGATAGAATTCACAAAGATAATATTCACAAGACTATGAATCTTACACAGATCTCTGTCAATACTTATGAAATACTCTGAAAAAGAAGTTATTATCAAAATCACTGACAGAGTTACTAATAAAGTCATCAATGATAGAATTATATATCAATCTATTTTATCAGTCTGACTGATATTAAGAAAGCTCTAGAAAAGTTATTCTGTACTACAATAACAGATTCTCACATAAAACTTTCTCAATAATATCATGAATATCTAGATATCTTTTAATAAGATAATATTATAAATATATCTTCTTTACAAGACTTAGAAGTGAATTACAGTATTAAGTTAGAAAAGAAGAATAATAAGAACTCTGAGTCATTATAAGACTTTGTTTATAATATATCTTGAGATAAACTTCTTCTTCTTCAGAAGACACTCAATGATCTATTAAATAAGAGATTCATATATATTAGTAACTCTTCTACTACAGCTTCTATTCTCTTTACAAAGAAGTTAGATAAAGAACTTCAATTCTGTATAAACTATCAAGATCTGAACAGATTGATAAAGAAAGATTATTATCTCTTATTTCTTATCAATGAAACTCTAGTATATATCAGATAAGTTTAACAATTTACAAAGTTAGATATTATCACTGTGTTTTATAAGATTTATATCACTGAAGAAGATGAATAACTTACAGTATTCTGAATATATTATAATCTTTTTAAATGAGTAGTTACACTCTTTGAACTGATTAATACTCTCAGTATATTTCAGAAGTATATTAACTGAGTACTTCAAGATTTTCTTAATGAGTTTGCATCTGTATATCTAGATAACATTCTCATTTTCACTAATAGATTCAGAAAAGAATATTAAGAATATATGTGAAAGATATTACAATAATTATAAGAGATAGAACTATCAATAAATATTGATAAATATGATTTTAAAGTCAAGAGTATAAAATATCTAGACTTTATCATAGAAGCTGATAAGAGAATTCAAATGAATTATGAGAAAGTCTCTGCTATTCTCAAGTGAGAGACTTTATATACTGTGAAAGATATATAAAGCTTCATTGAATTCACTAACTTCTATCAGTGATTTATATAAAACTTCTCAGATATTATAAGATTACTTACAGAACTTACTAAGAGAGACTCAGTATTTTAATAGTCAGTGAACACTGAATCCTGTATTTATATGAATGAAGAAGATGTTCATTAATACCTCTCTACTGATAATATTTAATTCTGATTATAAGATAGTTGTTGAAGCTGATTTCTCTGACTATATTACAGAAGAAGATATATTATAATATGATAATAAAGATATCTTACAATCATGTGTCTTTATATCTAAGAAACTAAGTCTCACTGAATGCAACTATAAGATCTATAATAAGAAACTTCTTACAATTATATACTGTCTAGAAGAATGAGACTTTGAACTTCAAAGTATCTCTGAATTTAAGATAATCACATATTATAAGAATCTTAAGTACTTTATAACTATCTGTAAACTCACTGAATAACAGATATAATAATCTGAGTTCTTAAGCTGCTTTCATTTTATAATACACTATCATTCTGACAGTCAGAACTTGATGATAGATGCTCTCTTATAATGAGTAAGATATATTATCTAATGTAACAGATACTTACTGAATGAACTGAGAGTACTGACTCTTGAATCTGAAGATACTAGTTGATCAAGATGAAACAGCTTATAACACTATACATACTTCTCTGATTAAAACTGTCACTGATATCTCAACTTCTTCTGAATCTATATTAGATGAACTATAACATACAGTAGCTTAAACTGATAAACTTCTTTAAATACTCACTGAAGCAGTATGATAAGAAGCACTCTGATTTTTCTCAGAACTATGTATAAGAACTGACATCTCAGAATGTTCAATCAATGATAATAATACTCTATAATTTTATAAATAACACTGAGTCTCTCACTCTGAACTCTTACACATCTGAATAATATAAGAGATGTATGACTCTTGTATAACTGATTATTCAGATTATAAATAACAGTATTAAATGATTTCTCAAGAGTTCTACTAGTCTGAGATATTAAACAGTATCAGATGTTTTATCTGAAACTATAACTATAATTTCTTCATCATTTTATAAAAGAACTATAGAAAAGATCTGCTAAAACTACTTGATATTTCTGATAGAATTTAGTAAGATATAATAATTAACTTTGCTGTTGATCTCTCTAAGAGTAAAAATTATAGAAATATTCTGATTATTATGAACTGATTAAGTAAGAATATAATATTGAAATCTTATAATAAGATGAATACTGAACAAGTCACTGAAGCTTTTCTAAGAAGCTCATTCTATTAAATATATAAATTACTGAGATCTATAGTATTGAATCAGAGCTGTCAATTTATGAGCACTCTTAGAACAAGAATCTGTCAAGGACTCAAGTTCTCAAGATTATACACTGTTTATTAACTGTCTATCACTCTGAAACTGATAATGTATTAGAATAGATAATTTAAACTGTAAAGAATTATCTTTATAAGTTCTATAATTACTTATAAAATAATTGATATAATCTTCTTCTACATACTGAAGTTACTATCAATGACTGAGATACTGTTTCAATAGATGTAAGCCTGTTCTTTCTTATATATAAATATCATATAAAAGTACTGAATCTTCTAGAGACTACATATTTTACACTGAATCTCTGCAGTCTGATTCAGATTGCTGATAATATAGTAATAAAACTCTAAAATATCTGTGATTGAGCAGAAGTCTTCATAACAAGTACTAAACAGAATTAAGAAGATTAAATCAATATTCACTAAGACTCTGCTAAGTAATATAAGATAGAAGATCTGATATAATTGAATCTTGAGAATATATAGATTATATACTCATCTTACACACTGAATTACTATTATATAAAGTATAAAGTGATAGAAGTTCTAGACAGTTATAACTATTATCTTAACATATTATTAGAGATTTATAATATCTTTTATACAGACTTGCTTTATTATACTGTCACTGATCTGTTCTCTTTGTAACTGACTTCTGACTAACAGCTGTCAGAAATTATAGAAGAAGATAATGAACTTGAATAAGAGATTAAAGATATTCTTGATAAAAGATCTCACAGCTGTAGCTGATAATATCTTATGAAATAAGTCAGCTATAATTATCTGATCTGAACTCTGAGTTCTGTATTATCTGAGATCACAGCTCTTGACTGATGAGAGCTATGTATAATTAAGAAAGAAGGAAGAGACTAATATAACAGACTGTGCTTAATCAATTATATGGACTATTTCATTACACTTCACAGATTTCTACTGCTCTGATTCTCAGTCACTGAGTCTCAGCTGAAAATCGCCCCGGTGGCCGAATGATTAATACGGCCACCCGGTAGCGCCTTGGTGTGGAAAACCAAGGCATGTGAGTTCCAACCCCGCAGGGAATATATTAAATTTAGAACTCAAGCACCTTAGGTTTCTAATAAATACAGAGGTGTACAAATTACTTCAACAAATCACTCTATGTTTCTGAAATGAGAAGTTATTATCACATGTATCTAATTATCACTTCATTGTATTTTTCTATGTTCTTGATATCTTGATGTGATCTTAACATCTATATTTCCTTCTATATAATCAACACTTAATCTGTATTTAACATCACGCAAGGACTCATCATAAGCTCCGCTTGCATATGAGTATAATGAAAGAAGAAGAATAATAATAATAATAGTCCGCTGAAAATCTACGGAATTTCTATTCTTTCATTCTGAAGCTTTACTGTGTATGAAAACCTCTATTCTTTCACTCTGAAGTTTCATCATGTACATCACTATGTATGTAAATAAATATTTACTCTGATCACTGATTTTCACACTTTCTCTTTCTTTTCTTCTCTAATGTTTTTCACTTTGTTATATAAGATCTATAAATATTATACTGCTCTATTTAGCGTAAGCCTCTTATATTCTCTGATAATCAAGCTGCTTTAAAAAGACTTAGAAATAGTCAGATTCAAAATAATTAAATGAATCTTAAACTGATTTTA